GAAAAAAAAAAAAAAAGAAAAACCAGTGTTTTCAAAATCAGATGGGACTGGACTGTTGGACCGGAAAAACCGGGAACTGGTTACCTGACCAGTTCTGACCCAAGCATCCCAAAACCTCTTTTTCTCCCAAAACCATTGATCTGGTAATGAATTGGTTGATTTGTATAGTTGAACTATTGACCCAAATAATGATTTTTAGTTGTTTTTTTATTTTTTGTTATAGCAGATCATCCTTTTGAACCGAACAATTAGACCATTGGACTTGGGAACCGGAAGCAGAACGATTCCCTATCTGATTTGATTTTAAAAACCTTGAGAAAAAACAATTAATTATACATTATGTAAAAGAAAAAGGGATACAAACCTTACCGACATCCTAATTGATCTGATTGTGATGACAGCACACAGCAGCCAAAAGGTAAGTGCAAAATCCCCCCACGCCTCCCCACCCCACCACACACAAAAAAGAGTAAAAAAAAATCATATGAATGTTTAACCCCGCATACACAAAAATGGTAGCATAAGGAATTTAGACAGACCAGAAAGAAAAGCTAAGGGAACGAGACAAAGAAGGTCCTTTTTACCCTAGATTTGTGTTTGATTAGTGTTGATTTATTTGGAGAACGATTTAAGTCAAGGAATTAATATACACGTAGTTAGAATTAATATCCTTTATTACATCCATAAATGAGTATCGGCTTTTTAGGTAAGAGAAATGCTTTCCAATTGCTGCTTCTTTTTATGGATGGGTATGAGATCCAAACATTCTTTTATGATTTTGCCCACATCTCAGTTGTTTTTGTTTTGAAAAACACTATAACGCAAACCGGAACCACCCCCTAAATGCATCTAATTCAATACGTGCTCCACTCAGCCAAAAAATGGAGTTTCATTCCATCTCCATTTGAAAGATAGGAACATCCTGTTTAAAAAAGGAAAAAAAATACTTGTATCTTTTTATTTTGTCTCTTTTTATGTATGTATATAACATATACAAGGGTGATGGTGCACAATCTGGAAGCTCCCTATTGGAGGATAGCTCAGATGATGGACTATGTAGATTGTTTGGTCGAGCTATAAATAAAGAGAGAGAATCAAAGTACCCGAGCTACTTTACCTAATGTGGTTGTGTGGGCACTCCAATGTTTAAGTCAGCGGTTTGGAGTTTGTTGAGAGCTAGAAAGCAAGAGAGAGGTAGAGCGTTTGAGTGCTGCATTGAGTGTACCTTATGAGGTTGGAGGTGAGGCCCTTATATAGGTGAGCTGCCGTGAGCCTCACGAAACGCATCAAGGATCTCTGACATGTCTGGTTTGGAGGTGGTTCCACGCCTGGAAGTGGACTCTATGTAAGCAGCTAATGTCTATCCAATCCCGCCCGAAGTGGGCGAGGTGATAACCAGCTCTTCCTATGTGGCATTGTGATCTCGGGGAATTTGGAGGCGATAGCCTACTTAAGGGGGAGGTCGTTCAGCACGTTAGGCAGGTCGCAAGTCAGATCGATGGAAGTAGGTCACCTCTTACGTCGACCTGAGGTATTGCCTAGCTGTTCGCAATTCGGCTTATCAGAGTGGTTCCAAGGTCACTGAAGCAATTGTGAAGTGCCCAAAGTGCTCCTCGAGTCTGCTTACGTGGTGTCAATGTGTCATTCTACTATTTAACGATGCCACGTGTCATCATATCATTGGAGGACCAAATTACCCCTCACTCCCAAATCTAGCGAGGGAGTAGTCTTAACTCGAGGTGATTTGGTCCGATTTCCATCCTCGTTTGTGGTCCAACCAATGGCTCGGGATCGGGTTGGTTCGGCCTAGGCACAAGGTAGTGTACCAGGGACGCATGGGCGCCACACAACCATTAGGTCACGCAGATGTAAAAAATATGCTAAATTGATTTTGCTTCGAAATACGAATTGTCGCACCCTTACGAACTGTTGGATCCAACCAATCTCAATCGTCCATAGTTCGGTTCATCCATCTATAAATAGGACCCTTAGGGGCCCATTTTTCTCACCCCTATCTTTGGAATTTTGGTGAGATCACGAAGCTCGGCATTGTCGGTGTTGTCGACAAGGTCGGTTTTCTCGTCCTAGGTGAGTCATCTCCCTTAGTTCTACTTTATTCATAATGTCTGATAGTGAGTCTGGGGAAGAGAGAGGAGGAAGGGACCTCGGCTAAAGACCAACGAGGTTCTCATAAGAGGGCCTCGTCTTCCCATAGTGTTAAAGCATCAAACCAGTTCAATCCCACAAATCTCTCTGTCGAAAATGTCTACGAGCTCGCAACTCAATATAGGATTCCAAATCATTTCAGATATTCCCTTCCCCTTGGGTAGTACCCATGGGAGCACGAGCAAGACGAGGTCACTGTCTTCAAGGAGGCCCTGAAAGCGGGTCTTTGGTTCCCCCCTCATCCACTTATCCCCGAGGTGTTGAACTACTATAACATTAGCTTAGGTTAGCTTCATCCGAATTTCATTAGGACCCTGGTCGACACCATCTCCTTCTGCCACCACGTCGGCTTCCCCCTAGATGTTAAGACCTTTGCCAGCATATGCCATATAAATAAAAACCCCTCTAGTACTCCCGGGATGTACAATTATTACTTGTTCTACCGCCCTGGGTGTAAGCTACTAAACGGCTTCCCCTCCAAGGTACCAGCCTGAAAGAGGAAGTATTTCTTCCTTGACCTAAGTAGCAGATGGTCGTTCTTTACGACCTGGAAAGAGGGAGTGAGGGACACTAGGGAGGAAACTCTGAGTGAGCAGATGCAAGCAAGAGTGCAGGTCCTAGTGGACTGGAAGTCAATGCATGGGCATTTTCTTTTCCTCTGGGTAGGTTGTGGTTTCAAGCTTAGGGATTTTCTTTTCCATCTTTACTTTCTTTCTTTTTTTTTTACAATTTGACTCACCTGGAGAGAGGGAGTGAGGGACACCAGCTCATGCAGGAAACATGTCGAGCATGCCAACTTCCAGGTTGTTCCAAGCCATGAAGAGGAAGAAGAGGAAGGTGGCTCTCCAAGAGGCACCTCAGTTCACTGCTCTAGAGATTGTCGTGCGAAGTGCTGCTAAGGCCATGCTGGTTGTTGACCTGGTCGAGGAAAACCAGCCAAAAATGACATCGCTAGAGCCCAAGGTCGCCCGTACATCCGAGGAGCCCCTTCCACCACCCAAGATTGAGGCGACCGGTTGTTCGAACACCGAGACTGACCCCGAGGAGAGGCACACCATCATAGACTTCCAGACTGCCCTAGTGAAGAGCAAGGGGGTCGTCTTTCCCAAAGAGGTCGCAAGGCTTCACGAATTACATCTCAGTGAGCTCGATGGAAAGCTTATGTGTAGCCTCATGGTGGTATGTTCCCGACCTTCTCATCGTATTCATTACGACCTCCATTCTGGACTTATTTCCCTTTCTCTCTTTTGTAAGGGAACACTTTGGCACACTCCTTGTTGGGGCGAGCTGATGGAAATTTGGCAAGGGTCCAAGCTATCGAGGAGGAAGCGGCGGAGTACATGTCCCGAATTGAGTGAGCTATCCATCTCATCGGTGACCTAAGGACGAGCTCATTGTGGAGCAGAGCTACGCTACAGACCTGACGAGGGAGGTCGAGAAGCTGACCGAGGAGAGTGAGCTCAAGGACCGGAAGTTGTAGGAGAAACAAGTCGAGCTCACCGAGCAACAATTGAAGTTTCTCGATGATGTCCATGTTGTCGAGGTGCATGAAGTTGAAGAATTCAAGACTTTGCCTGGCTTCTTGAAGGAAAGGAAGGAGTTCAAGTCTGGTGCTTATTGTCAAGGATTCAAGTTGTGCCGGATGCTAGTGGCCTCGGTATGCCCAGAGTTTGACCTCAACAAATTAAAGTCCTCGGCGTTCATGACCGAGATGATGGGTCAGGTTGATCAAGAGCTTGACACCAAGGAGGAGGATGAGGTTGATGTGGTCAGTAGATCTGATGCTATCGTGGAAGGTGTTGGTGTGAAGGGTGTGGGGATAGACGAGCCCCGTAATGTCTGACTTTCTTACCTCTTTTCTTGGACCCCCATGTATATACATTGTATTCCAAACCTTCGAGCTCAACTTCCTTAATTTTTTTAGTAGCGATATACTCTTTCCTTCTTTTGTTTAATGGAATTGAATTTTTTGCACATCTTGTGTCTTTATCTTTTTGCCTTAGAAAGTAGACCAAGTATTATAAACACAATCTGAAGTGCTAGGGTAACGAGGTGCACTAGTTTCCTAGGTGCCAAAGCGACTAAGCTTATGATTTTGACTATGTCAGAACAATGTTGAATTGTTGAACTACCGACGTATTCCAAGGTCGACATAGGGGGCCTTAGAGATGAAAGTGGTTTGGCTTCCCCTTATATACAACTTAGCCGAAGTGCTCATAGAATAGACCGGCTAGACCAGGTTGGCAAGGCGGGTGGTGTCATTTTTCACGCTTAGTCAAATTTGTAATATTTGCGGATGCAACTCGAAACATTCGGACTCTTTATAGATAATATCTCCTTAGGTTGTTAATGTTCCATGCACGGAGTACATGCCTCCCCTCTAACGTTTCGAGCTTGTATGTACCCTCACCGATCACCTTGAGAATTCTATAAGGGCCTTCCCAGTTCAGACCTAGCTTTCCCATGCCGGGCTTAAGTACCATTGAAGAAATAGGAAAAGCAAAACAAAAAAAAATGTAACTAAAGAGGAGAAATTTGCACTCACAAAGGATCTCACAAAACAAAAGAAAAAAAAAAGCACACAGTGGAGTGAATAGCAACCAAGCTATTATTACTTTTGAAAATTGGATGCAGTAATCGGTGAACTACTTTCCCTTATATAGGCATACAAAAGAAGACAACGTTGCCTTATTCCTTCCACTAACTCAACTAATTCCTAAAGAATAGGACAAGTAACAATAAATGAAACAACTTAACAGCTAATGACTAACCCACTAACATTTGACTCGGTAACTCAAAACTAAATAACAAACTTCATGTGCTGGTGTTGTATTTTAACACTCCCCCTCAACACCAGCCTTGGTTCTTTCTACCATCCCGAGTTGCTTGCAGAAACTTTCAAACTTGTTGCCACCTAAGCCTTTTGTGAACAAATCTGCAACTTGGTTTTCTATCTTAATATGTTCTATTACAATTTCCTCTTGTAGAACTTTTTCCCTAATAAAATGATAATGCACCTCCACATGTTTAGTTCTTGCATGAAAGATTGGATTCTTCGCCAAACGTATTGCCGACTGGTTGTCGCAATACAAAGGAACTGCATAATCAGTTGGTTGACGCAGGTCCTTCAACAATTGTATAAGCCAAGTGCTCTCTTGATCTGCCATTGCTATAGCTCGATATTCTTCTTCTGTTGTTGATAAAGATACAATTGGCTGCCTTTTACTCCACCAAGAAATTGCTCCAGACCCAAGCATAAAGACATACCCGGTAGTTGAGCGTCGGGTTTCATGATCACCTGCATAGTCAGCATCATAATAACCAGCTAGTTTGCAATCCCCACCTTTCTCATACAAGACACCATAGCCAGGCGTACTCTTCACATATCTTAAAATTCGCCGAACTGCTTCCAAGTGAGGCTTCTTTGGATTTTGCATGTACCGGCTCGTCACATCAACTACATAAGAAATATCAGGTCTGGTTAAATTTAAATAGATCAAACTATCCACCAATTGTCGATACATCGTTACATCTTCCAAATCTCTCCCTTCATGAGCACACATTTTGGTGTTTGGCTCTATCGGAGTCGAAATTGGTTTGCACTCAAGCATTACAAACTTTTTCAACAAATCTCTAGAATACTTTTGTTGACAAAGAAATATTCCTTCTTGAACACGATCAATCTCTAGACCAAGAAAGTGCTTGAACTGACAAAGTTCTTTCATCTAAAAATGAACTGATAAATTCTCCTTTGTTTAGAGAATTTCTTCTTCACAATCTCCTGTTATGATTAAATCATCCATATATACTAGCACAATAGCTAGCTTCCTTCCACTAGCTTTGACAAACAAACTATAATCCGCAGGTGTCACCGAATAACCACTATGAGTCAGAAATTCAGCAATCTTTCCATACCAAGCTCTCGGTGCTTGCTTTAACCCATAGAGCGCCTTTCGTAGCTTACACACATATTCAGGATGATCTTGACTCTGAAAGCCCATCGGTTGAATCATGTAGATCTCCCGATCCAACTCCCCATGCAGGAATGCATTCTTCACACCCAATTGCCACAAGTTCCAATCTTTGTTAGCTGCAAGTGCAAGTAGGACTCGTACAGTCGTAAGTTTTGCAACTAGACTAAACGTTTCATCATAGTCTAGTCCATATTGTTGAGAGAACCCCCGAGCTACCAGACGAGCCTTGTGCCTCTCAATTGATCCATCTGTGCAACGCTTTATCTTATACACCCATTTGTAGGAGATAGGCTTCACATCTTTAGGCTTTGGCATGAGCTCCCAAGTCTGATTTCATTCTAATGCAGCAATCTCCTCATCCATAGTTTTATTCCACTATGGATTATGAAATGCTTCATCAAATGTCTCTGGTTCTTTTGTAGTTGCTTCTTCTATTATAGTGGCGTTGGCATATTTGGGATTTGGCTTTCTGGCTCTTGTAGATCTTCTGAGAGGAGTTGGTGCTTCTGCTTCACTAGGCTCACCTTCTTTGCTTGATCGATCATAAACTCCAGTTTGCCAAGGACTTTGAGCTACGTCTTCCTGGACATTGCCACCATCATCTGCATCATCAGATTTACCTAAACTCAGCTGGATTTGAGCAGATTGCAGCTCATCTTTAATAATATCTGAGCCTGGTAGTATCTCCTTTTCTGAGGACCACCATGAAGATGCTTCATCAAACACCACATCCCGAGACGTGTAGCACTTTCCAATTGTAGGATCACATCACCTCCACCCTTTTCTTTGATTGTCATATCCTACAAAAATACACTTAACAGCCTTCTTGTCCATCTTTCTACATAAATGGTCAGGTACATAAACATAGCATTCACACCTGAAAACTTGAAAATAGCTAACTGTAGGCTTCATGTTCCACAATTTTTCAAAAGGTGAAAGAAAACATAACCTTTGTTGAGGAAACCTATTGATTACGAAAGCGTAGTCTTCATTGCTTTTGCCCAAAATTGTCCTAGAACATTCTTCGCATGAAGCATACTTTGACATATTTCTGCCAGGTGCCTGTTCTTCCTTTCTGCTACTCCGTTTTGCTGTGGAGTGTGAGGACATGTGAACTGATGGCGTATTCGGTGCTCCCGAAGAAAATCGCAGAATTCGCCTGAGGTATACTCTCCTCCATTGTCGGTGCGTAGACAACGAACTCCTTTGCCAACTTCTGCTTCCGCTACTTTCTTGAACTCATTGAACTTTGAAAAAGTTTCAGATTTTTGCCTCATGAAGTAAACCCACATGTACCTTGAGAAATCATCAATAAAGGTCACCATGTACTTCATCCCACCAATAAAGGCTTGCTTGACGAGTCCAAACACATCAGAGTGAATTAACTCTAATGGTTCCTTCGCTTTAAATTTTGACTCTTCATACGACAACTGATGCGCTTTACCATACTGGCATCCTGCGCAGACTGTGTTTGTTTTTACTTCAAGTTGGGGAAGTCCTTTCAGCATTGATCTTTTCATCATCACATTTAGCTTGGAATAGCTAACGTGACTTAACCGCATGTGCCATAAGTCAGCCATCTTGTTTTTTCTCGTCTTGTCTACACATGCAATTTCTGCAGACATCACATAGACTGACTCTAATCTTCGTCCCTTCATCACCAGCTCTTCTATAATCTCAAGGTCGCGATAAACCTTGACATTTTGCAGACGAAATAGAACAAAATGGCCAGAAGATGTTAATTGTGATACCGAAAGAAGATTTTTCTTCATACCTGGAACGTGATAAACATTTTGAAGCGGCACCTTATTAGCACTATATTGGGGAGAGACTATCGTAATACCGATGTGAGCTATCGGTAACTTCGAGTTGTTGGTTGTCACCCCAACTCGACTTCCTTTGTACTTTGACAAATTCTGCAACTTTTCTTTATCACCCGCCATATGATTTGAGCATCCCAAGTCAATGATCCAATCTTTCTCATAATTAATATGTTCAGACGTAGTTGTTGTAAGAACTAACTCCTCCTCTTCTGCTGCAAATAATGCCTCAGCCTCCCATTCTTCTTCGCTTTTGGAAGTAGTCGTGTTACTCTCCACTGGCTTTTTCTTCGACCAACAAGCTTTCGCCATGTGACCCTTCTTCCCGCAATTGTAGCACTTTCCTTCAAACTTTCTGTCATTGCCATGATTCTTCGAAGCTCCCCCTGTACAAGCACTTCCTTCGCCTTGATGACTTTTTGCCTTGTCATCATTCTTTTTAGACCCACCAAATGTGTGTTGCTTGGAGTTCCCTCTGCTTTTATTAGCGTAGAGCGCTTCCTCTTCACCCTTTAGCGAGACTCCTCCCATTTGCTTAGCTAGTGCTTCTTGTCCAGCAAGCAAGTTTTCGAACTCAACAAGTGATGGTTGATTTTGCTATCCCTGTACTGCAGCAACAAAGCCCCTATATTCGGGCCTCAAACCATGGATAATTATTCTTTTCATGTTGGTTTCCCCGATTGGAGCTTTCGGATCCAACTCGAAAATTTCGCAGCATAGTGACTTCGCCTTGTGAAAGTACTGAGCGATCGGCATGTTGCATTGCGCTAACGACAAAAGTCCGCTCTCTAAAAGTTAAAGCCTTGTGTCGTTCTTCTTTGAGAACAGCATGGCAAACGTATCCCAAGCTTCTTTGAGAGTTTTGGCATCCCAAATGTGTTCTAGCACATCTTCTTCTATCGTAGTCTTTAAAGCGAACATTGCCTTGCCCGCTTTTATCTTCCACTTCCGTAATGTACCATTTGCATCCTCTGCCTCTGGTTGCGTAACTTCGCTTTCGTTTACAACCTCCCACAAATCTTGGTCTTGCATGTAAGACATCATACATGTAGACCAAGTATTGTAGTTCTGATTGTCGAGCTTTTTTATTCCGCCAACGACTTGAAGATCGCCCATCTTGTCAAGAGAAAAAGCTCACCAAATATGATGCCCACGACCGACTTGGCTCTGATACTAGATTGAAGAAATCGGAAAAGCAAAACAAAAAAAATGTAACTAAAGAGGAGAAATTTGCACTCACAAAGGATCTCACAAAACAAAAGAAAAAAAAAAGCACACGGTGGAGTGAATAGCAACCAAGCTATTATTACTTTTGAAAATTGGATGCAGTAATCGGTGAACTACTTTGCCTTATATAGGCATACAAAAGAAGACCATGTTGCCTTATTCCTTCCACTAACTCAACTAATTCCTAAAGAATAGGACAAGTAACAATAAATGAAGCAACTTAAAGCTAATGACTAGTCCACTAACATTTGACTCGGTAACTCAAAACTAAATAACAAACTTCACGTGCTGGTGTTGTATTTTAACAACCATAACCTTCCTGAGTAGCAGGTTACCAACTCAAAATTGGCGTCTCTTCACTCAAGAATTATAATACCGAGCTACTCATTGCTGATATGCCAAGGTCCAAATATAGACTAAGTCACAGACTTCTTCCACCAGGTCGAGATTGGTCCGTAGCTCGTCCTCGTTAGCCTCCCCAACGTATGTCTTAGACTGCAAGTTCAGCACCTCGATCTCGGTTGGGATGATAGCCTCCTTTCCGTATGTTAGGTTGAAAGGAGTCTCGCTTGTCGCCGTCTTGATTGTAATTCGGTAAGCCCAAAGAACACTGGCCAACTCATCCACCCACAAACCCTTAGTTCGGTAGAGCCGAGCTTTGAGTCCATGGAGTATCGCCTTGTTTGCCACTTCTGCCTGATCATTTGCCTAAGGGTGAGCCATCGTAGTAAAATTTTGCTAGATTCCCATCTCGATAGATTAGTTCTGAAATTTTATGTATTTGAACTACTTCCCGTTGTCCGATATCAACACCTTGGGGAGTCCGAATCTACAAACGATGCTCTTCTAAAAAAGTTTTACACATTCCGAGCTGTGATGGATACCAGCATTTCGACTTCTACCCACTTCGTAAAGTAGTCAACCGCAATGACCAAGAACCTCCTATGCTCGGTCGTAGGTGGAAAGGGACCGAGGATATCTATCCCTCACTGTGTAAATGGCTACGAGCTGGTAAGGTACCTTAAATCGGCTGTAGGCTGATGAGGTATGTTGGCATGTTGCTGGCACTTGTCGCACTTCCAAACTAATTCCAGTTTTTCACCTTCATCTTGGGCCAGTAGTAGCCTTGTTGTAGCACTTTCTGGGCAAGTGCCCTGCCCCCAAGTGTCATCTGTATAGACCTTTGTGGATCTCACGTAGCACCTGGTTTGCTTTAGTTGGGCGCAAGCAGCATAAGTAAGGGAGCATAAACAACCTTCCATACAGTTGTTCGCCAATGATTACATAGCGAGTTGACTGCCGCTCTACCCTCCAAGCTGCACTGTGCTCTACAGGTAAGGTCCCGTGGCGTAAATAGTCAATGCACGGATCCATTCATCTCAGCTCTGTAAGCAAAATAGGAGCAACCTCTTTTACCACCCTTTTTATGCTAGGTCATTGTATGTCTTCAATGTAGATCGTTCTCTTTGTGATGCCCATTGCACCGACTAGCTTCGAGAGCGTGTCAGCCTCGGTGTTTTCGGACCTCGGAACTTGTTGGATGTACCAAGAGTGAAAGTTGGGCAGGAGCTCTGTAACCTTGGCCAAGTAGGCCAACATGGTGGACTCCTGGGCCTCATACTGCCTATTCACTTGGTTGACTACCAGCTGTGAGTTGTGCAGACGACGAGGTGTTTTGCACCGATCTCCTTTGCTAGGGAAAAC